AATTTATCTGAAATCCCAGATGAAGGAGCTAGCAGGGTGGGTGGCACGCACAGGCCTCACCCTTTGGCTTGTCAATGGTCTTCTGCCTTCACATGGTCTTTCCTTTATGTGTGTCTGACTCTCTTCTCCCAAGGGCACCAGTCATGTTGGGTGAGGGCCAACCCATGACTTCACTCCACCAGCCACCTCTGTGAAGGCCCTATTTCCAAAGACAGTCGCATTCTGCAGTTCTGGAGGATCAGGATTTCTACACACAAATGTGAGGGGGGCACAAACTGATGGAGGTGATTAGAAACTTAGTTCCCTCGGGTTAAGCAATCCAGAGGTGAGGAAAAGAGTGCAAGAGGAGGACTTCTGTGTTTGTTTACTTCTTCAGTTTTGGTATAGAAATAGTTTATGATTAGTGACTCAGTATTAACCGCTGCTCTTTTTGAGATTGTGTGCTCTAACCATTATTCTAAATCAGTGGTTCTCAACCTGTGGATCACGACCCCTTTGGCGGTCGAATGACCCTTTCACAGGGGTCGCCTAAGACCATCCTGCATATCAGATATTTACATTACGATTCACAACATTACAGTTATGCAGTAGCAACAAAAATAATTTTATGGTTGGGTCACATGAGGAACTGTATTTAAAGGGCCAAAAGGCTGAGAACCACTGAAATACACATGTCTCTACAGACTGATTAATCTGCTATAATTAAGATGTGACCTTTTCAAATTTTCATTGAAAACAAAAACAGAAGTGCCATCTCATATGTTAAAGAGCTTTGAGTTTGGCACGCAGGAAGCCATTTCCTTCCAGAGGCCCTTATTTCTGTTCCGCAAACACACATCACCCCGATTAAAGGGAAAACAGGGTTCTTCCTTCCAGGCAGTGTCTGATCCCTGGGAAAACCTGGAAACTACAAAAAGCTCAATTTAAAAATTAAAGACATTTCAAACCCAGCAAGATCTTACATGGAAAATAAACCCTCCAGGTGCGTTGTTTTGAGTTTGGTTGAGACTATTTGTAGATTTCTGCTTAGAATGTATAAACTCACAGGAACAAAGTCAACCGGAGAGACCATCAGATGGAGAGCAATAGCAACGAAGGAAGCTGTGCAGAAAGTAGCAGGGCTGAGAAAGCTGAGGACCGAGTACGTGCAGAAGGGTGGTTCATTCTCACAGGAATATACAGCAAGTCCCGGCAATGAGAGACGCCAGATGCTGGGGAAAACTCAGGTGGAGCCTGGAATGGAAAACAGGGGTAGTGGCTAAAACTGATTACCACGCCACACCTTGGCAGAAGGCTGACAGTTTATTTTATGGACTCATGTTGGTTTAGTTTCTCCAGACCAGGGGACTTTAGATTAAAGAGAGCATGAAAGAGAGGCACTGAACTGAGAACAGGTGGGTTAATTAAAATCTGTACCAAGTATTGAGCAAACAGAATACTGGCTGTCAGGTAGATTTCTGTCTAGAGGCAATGAATGGCCCAGGACAAAAGGCTTAGAGATCCTGACATCTGAAGGACGCCAGTGAAACAGCAGAATCCACACCCAGTCACCTGGGCAAAGAACAGTCAATGGAAAGGTGGAGCCTGCCCCCTTTCTGATCAGTTTTTAGAATATAAAGATAAAGATCTCCAAGAAAGCCTTGAACATAAAAGACCAAAATAAACCAAATAAAAAGCAGATAGCAGAAGAGATAAAGCAACTCAAAACAACACAAATAAACACAAAATACAACATCCCCAGAGACACAGAGCCATTTTATCCAAGAAACAACAAAACAACAAAAGAGTATTACAAAGAAAGGACTGGCAGAGTGTGTGGAGGAAAGAGCTCACCCAGAAAAGCAAAACAAAAAGCCAAAGACCTGAAAAGGAAAACCAGAGGACCAAACCAGCATCCAAAATCTCAACAAGGAGAGTGCCAAAGAGAAAGAGGAGAGGGAAAACAAGGCGGGGGGTCAGCGAAACAATGCAAATACAGCTCCCAGAATGAAATAAAAAAAGGCTCTGTTTTTCTAACTAAAATAGTTCAGTAAGTGTCAGCATGAAGAATGATAAACAGACATACACAACACATACCAGTTCACATGACCCTGACATATAAAGCAGCTGGGGATTTAAAGAAGTCCTGTGACTTTTCAGAACCTGCCCTCCGACTCCCATCCCAAAGGCCACATACAATAGACTGAGGACTAGGGTGGCACTGGACTTTCATAGCAATTCTGCAAGTCAAAGAAAATATTGACCAGTGCCATCAAAGTTCCAAGGCAAAATTAATTTCAAACTAGAATCCTATATCCAGCTAAATTAAGTAATCAAATATGAAAGGGCAGAATAAAGACATTCTGACATGCAAAGTCTTTAACATTTTGCCACATATGCATTCTTTCTCAGGAAGCTACTAAAGATTCAAGAAGTTTTAACCTAATTAATCAATTAACTGATCCATTAAACAACAATAGCAACAAGCAAAGGTGTTCAGCAAGGAAAAGAAATGCATGGGATCCTGGAATGGGCTTTCCATAGCAGAAATGAGGGAAGGCACAGATGATGGTGCTGGTTGTGCAACTATCCTTCAGGACATCCAGAAAGCCAGCTGACTCCAGGAAGGGAGTATGAAGAGAGTAGAAACGCTAGTTGAGTTGTGTTGAATAGTGTGGAAATTAGTATTCAAAGACAGTCAGTTTAGCACACGTTTGGCTGCAAGTTTCTAAAGATCCAATTCAGAATGGTCTAAATGATAAACGGGAGTTTATTCTCTCACATAACCAGAGGCACAGGAGGAGGCCACTTCAGTGGCTGATTTGTTCAGCAGTTCAACATCACCATCGTTCCAGATTCTTCCTACCTGTTGCTGCTCATCTATCCTCTGCATGCTTTTAACCTTCTCAGCTGCAAGATGCTGCATGCCACACTCTAAGCCTCTGATCTGCACACACCAAAGCCAGCCGTGGGAAAGGGACTCTCTTCCTTGTGGGTCTATTAGGAAACCTTCCCCAGAAACACTTCTCTTCTAGGGCTCCTGGGCCAGGCTCCTTCCAATCCACCACTGACTGAAGGGATGTGCCCAGGGTTAGTTCACAGCAGTGCTCTATTGCACTAGACACACAAGGGAAGTATCTGTATAGCCCGGTGGAATAATAAATGAAGCTGTGAAAATCTCAGCACATCTGGCACCCACTCATCACACTGGGTGTGAAATGTTGAATTAGACCAGTCAGGATATCAGAGCCACAGGGTAAAGACTGTGAACATCAGAATAACATGGGAGGCTAGTGGGCTGAATAAAAAAAAAAAGAGGAAAATGGTACCTGCTGCAGAAGAGTTTAAGCGATTCTCATTAAAAGTTTGGTAAATAGCCCTGACCGGTTTAGCTCAGTGGATAGGGTGTCGGCCTGCGGACTCAAGGGTCCAGGGTTCGATTCCGGTCAAGGGCATGTATCTTGGTTGCGGGCACATCCCCAGTGCGGGGTGTGCAAGAGTCAGCTGATCAATGTTTCTCTCTCATCAATGTTTCTAACTCTCTATCTCTCTCCCTTCCTCTCTGTAAAAAACCAATAAAATATATATTTAATAAAAGTTTGGTAAATAAGAGGAACGTAGGAAAGTAAGCAAATGAAAATAAATGAGACAGTTATTAATTCCAGGGTAAATAAAAATGGTTTAGGAAATGACAGTTTACTAGTTATTTGAATATTTCACAATTTATGTCAGTATAACTGATTTATCAAAAATGATGCAATTATACTGGGAACATGGAGAGAAAAAAAGTGGGGCAGGAGTGGTAGTTAAGTCTTAATCTATATTGTCCCATAACAGGAAGTCAAAAGAAAGTGCCTTAACTGCTACACAAATCCCTCCATCTTCAAAAAAAATCCCATCAAAAACTATATATTTAAAAATTTAGCAAAGCTAAACGAGTTGGAAGTAGCTGCTTCTGGGGAGGGCCAGGCAGGATTGCAGCTTTTATTATACACTTTACAGTACTCTAACTTTTAAAATTCTGTATGTCACTTTATTTTTTTAGTCTCATAGATAGAAAAGAGTGAGGTTCCCCCACTTTCTGAATGGGCCCTTTATATGGAAAACACAAACTCACAATGTATTACTCAAACAAAAGCAAGTTCTGATGTTGCCTTTCCCCCCATCCCATTCCCCCAGCTGTCCCACCCCCACCCTTACACTGGTGGGGTCTGGGTAGTGGGGGTCTGGGTAGTGGGTGTTAAGGGGCTTCATGCCAAGGAGAAGTATGAATAGGTCAGTTTTTTTGCATTGGGTGGAGTTCAAAGTTCCAGGCAGGAGAAGGTGGCAGGTGACGTCCTGGGAGTAGTCCTGGGACCCTGTTGTCTGGTCAGGAAAGGCCCAGCATTCTCCAGCAAGTGTAGCTACAGTGACAGACCCCAGGGGGCATCATGTTACAGCAGGCTACTTGAGCATGAATGGTCTACCAAACCTTCCAAGCTCTGCTGCTAAAAGCCAAGTGCAGTTACATAATTTAAACATCCTAACTGAATGTAATTCAAACTTCTGCACTGTTAACAAATTAGCATCTACTTCCTAACTCAAACCCTATAGGTTTCCACTACTTTAGGGATAGTCCCAAAGAAGAAAATATCATCAAAGGAAACTATTTATAGGGACAGCCCAGACCCAAAGATAGGCAGATTTCCCCAGTGACCGGGACCTTACCAACCCGACCCATCATGATCCCCTTACTCACCTAGCACCGTGGTCGGCAAACTGCGGCTCACGAGCCACATGCGGCTCTTTGGCCCCTTGAGTGCGGCTCTTCCTAAGCCTTAGGAGTACTCTATCAAGTCCTGCCCCCTTCATGGAGCCTTCTCAGACTGCTGCTCACAAAGGATGTCTCCCCCTGAAGCAACTCATGCAACCACTTTATATGTATTTGGTCGGTCCCACTGCATCTGACCATTAAACCCTTTACATCACTCCTCACACTGCGATTTACTTACTACTCAAGACGATAAAGAAGATGGCTAGAATTTTTTTCAAAGGGCATTTTTAGAAAGCATTTTATAAATAAATTCATGTACAAAGCAGCAGCACATACACCGAGTACACAAATCACCAGTGTGGTGGGCCCCTAGCCCTTCTCTCCACTCTGGGAAAACAGATCGGACGAGAAACAATGGTTCCATCTTGGTAATTGTGTCCATCTACACAGACAGTTTTTCAAGCAGCATTTCTACTCCTTTGCTGGTGCTTTTGTTTTTCTGCAATGTGGGGATCAGGCTTTTCAGTCCAGCTTTGACTTTGCTTGCAACTTCTGGATCAGAACTCTGGAGAAGGCTGAAGAGAGAAGACGAAAACTAAATTCCATAGAAATCCCTAGATTGTCTGCCAGTGCTACCTGCAGCCACAGTAAACAAAATTTATTGACTTGTGAGACAAGTCTTATAACTATAAACGCATTTTTCCATCAGATAAATGATAGGGCTAGTAGCCTATGTTCTAAAACCACATAAATAAAAACCATTTCATAGTCTTGTTGGTGGAGTCACTCAAGGAAAGTAGGAGCAACTCTGTTTCATACAGAATTGGTCCTTTCACTTTGACTATCTTAGGGCTAACACCCTGCCTTAAAATTATTTTACCACGTGTATTCTATCTCCCCTTCTCCACCTGAACTCAAAAGCAGAAACCTGGTGTTTTTCTCCATGGCACCACGTGTACAGAACAGATGGCCAAGAATGTTCACTGAGCCTCTGAATTCACATGAATGAACAGGTGCACAGAGAAAGGTGGGGCCGTGAAAGGGAAGCAGTTAACGGCCTCCTTACTGAACTCTGCAGCTAGAACATTTAGTGAAGGGGTGAAGAGCTTCACTGCCTACATCTGAAACCTGCCTCTGCCACTCAGTAACTGAATAGCCAAGAGCAATGCTATTTAAATTCTCTAACACTCTTGACCTATAAAGTGGGATCAGCAACAGAATCACCTTTTTCCTCACAGGGTTGTTTTCGGGGCTCAAATGATCTTGTATGTAAAGCACCACCTAACCAGACCCTGACACTCAGGAAGCATTCAATCAGTGTGAGTCATTAAACAAAATAACATCAGCTCTGCTTCCGGAGACCTTGCTGGAGTGATCCATCACCAGGGAACGGGGCCCCAGAGGCGGGCTACTGTGGGGAGCCCATATAGGGTTAAGCCTCGGACGGACTGACCTGTTGGCAAAGTCACAAACAAGTCCCAGCTTAGAGGACACAGTCCTCTTAGCATAATTAGGCTTGACCTTATGACGCTCCCTAGATCTTATCTGGGAAGCTAATGGGCTGAGGGAAGTGCAGCAAGAACAAGAACAAAAACAAGTGAAACTCACAAGAACAGTGTAACTTTGGTAACCACTACCTTGTTTACCTCTGACTATAAAATAAAGGCTCATTTTGCCTCGAATCTTTCTCTGTGGCCTCAGCCAGGCACAGGAAGATCCACGGAGACTAAAGAGAGCTAGAGAGCTATGAACGCTGTCTCCGTGTAAATCATTCTTTGCCGACTCCGTCCACACCTTTGGGAACCCCTGGCCCGCCGGGGCTGGACCCCGGCAGGCTACATGCAGGCCCTTCTCTTTACATAGGGGTTGGGACTCAGGCAGCACACCAGGGCTGAATTTCCTGTTTCCCCCCCACTTCTGAAGGACATGTACATGTGAACTTCTTAAACATACGCTTGGCATTTTTTAAAGTGCCTGGTCCCTATAACTTTCATCATGTTGAGAAAGAGAAGGATAAGCTAGCAGCCCCAAGCAGCATTATCTCACTCATGGGATACAAGCAACAAATATTGCTTGCCACCTATGAAACTGAAAAGTGCCCTTTTAATAGATCTGTGACTCACTACGCAACTTTATTTTAAATACCGTGGCTAAGCACATAGTCACATAATGCACAGTGATAAAAGTTGATACTTATTGAGCATGTGTATTGGACATAATGCTAAGTATTTTATACGTATCATCTCATTTAATTTTTTTATAACAACACAGAACTATTATTTATTTCATTTTAAAACCCAGAGAATTAAGACTCAGAAGCTGAATAAAGTACCGAAGGCCACACAGTGAGCTGGGACTGGAACCCAGTCTGTTTGTCTGGAGCTCATGCCTGTTAGACAATTCTGCTTCCCTGGGTTAGTATTCAGACTTCACACAAGGCCGATTTTCTTTTTTACCCAGAATGCTTTTTCACTTAATGCAAAAAATATTTAGAAAAAAAAAAGAAAATTGCAAGAGTTTGAAGTAAACTATAAGCAGGCAGATCATTTTACCAAACAAGTCAAGCACATGACAATATTCTAAGAATCAAACAAAATTGATTACTGTATTAATAAATTATTAGGTTATCTATGGTTCATCTTCCCTTCCGAACCCCAAATACTTCATGTGCTCCTGCTCCAATTCTAAGCAGTGTTCCATAAGAACCTATAACATCCCCCATATGTTTGCAATCCACCCAAGGGCAGCTCAGATTGATGAACGATCTCTATAAATTAATTTTATGGCACTGTTGAAATTTCTAGTTAATTAAGTGTAATGAAAGAATGTGTCAGTAGATGGTAACCTTTCAAATGTCTGATAAAGAAATTTATATAAAAAAAGTGCATGTTTCAGCTCATAGATTCTGGGTGTTAAACATCAACTGAAAAATTAATTTTAATGGGAAATGAACAAAATGATGTGTCGCCCATGTTTGTAGATATTGATATACCTAAAAAAAAGAAATGTTCATATGGAATGTGTATGTTTGTAAGTATATTATATAATTATATATTGTACAAACATAACATTTACCGACATTACAGATGAAATTGCATAGCATTTGCATGTGAAATACTGAGGGAAATTCAAACTAAGATTGGTATGTGTTCCAAACCTCGGTAATACAGCAAGGAAAATCAACAGTGATTGCTTTAAAACAATCTACAAACAAACCTACTTTTAAATGAATGTTCTTAATAGATGGTTTCATCTGGGAATAGAATACACAAATTTTCGATGACCTGTAAATTATAAACTTAACATAAGGTGTCTAGAGAACAATATGCAAGTAATATGCACAAATCATCAGTTTCCTATCCATTTTAATTAGAAATAAACAATACTTGTGCAGACTTCAGAAGCAAATGCTTTTAAATCCTTTTAGAATAGTTGAGAACAACGAATGAAAATTACATGTAAATTCAGTCACAATTTAAAAAATAACTTGTCAACATTTTCCTAAGGACAAGACTAATCCATTAAAAAATATATACAGTCCTGGCTGGTGTGGCTCAGTTGGTTGAGCATCAACCCCTGCACCGAGGGGGCACCCATTCAATTCCAAGTTAGGGCATGTGGCTGGGTTGCGGGCTCAATCCCCAGTAGGGGGCATACAGAAGGCAACTGAAATACAGAAGGCAGCTGACACTCTCGATTTCCCTTCCTCTCTTTCTAAAAATATTAATAAAAACATGTTTCTTTTTAAAAAAAGAACACAAATACATTTTGGTCAAAACCATAAATGTGATGTGATAATTAAATGATTCCTCTGAATGTTATAATTCTATGATCCTTGACATCCAAAAGAGGGCAGATGAAAAAAACTGCAAGGACTGATTGAAAGAGTTATATGTGCTTTCTACTATTTGCTATACTTGTATAGATCATGAGTGACTGAAAGTAATGCTGGACTATGGCGAGCAAATGGTGGAACGGAGAAATAAATGTGAGAAGTCTTTTGCACGAACAAGCATTCAGGATGGGGAGCCTGCGCAGAGAAGGACACACATTACACATACCCAGAAAGAATGATGGCGCCTCGATTTATACCAGCCCACGACTTCAGGCTCTTCATACCGACATGTTCTACAAGTGTCTTTGCAAAACAACCTGTAAAATATACTGAAACTTAGTGGACATCATATACCAAGATTTAAACCCCCAATCTCCCTCTCTTCTGCCCTTAAATCTGTATGTTTTAATAAAAAAGTATGTAAAGAGAGTTCTCTCCCAAATTCCCCTAAGATGAAAAATTCCTGTTCAGGTTTATATAATGCATTTTTTGTAAAGCCATTTCTTTCAAATCTGATTCAAATCCTAAGCTATGTTAGCAGTAATAACTCATAAGAAATGCTCACTTGGTCATGTTTGTGCTTCTTTGTTCTAGTGAACGACTTAACCCTGACCTGAAAGGTATCCAGGAAGTAAATGTTTGGCAGCAGCACCTACGCAACACATGGAATCAACGTGTTCTACTTTTGAATCTTGGCGGGCCTTTATGTCTCACTTAACCAAGGGAGTACAATAAAAGTGATGCTAAACAATTCTGAGGCTAACTCATGAAAAAATCACCCACCTACTTTGTTCTTTTAAAACCAACCCTCCATGCTCTAAGGAAGCCCAAGCAGCAGCCTAGGGAGAGGAACTGGGGCTGTTGGCCCCAGCCGTTGGCAGATTCCAGCCCCTAGCTGAGCAGCACTCTGCACAGAGGAAAAACCAGCTCCCGATCAAATGATTACTTTTTTGAAAACTACTGTTTTGAGGTAACTTATTACACAACAAGAGATAACCAAGACAGCTAGCCACACTCATGTGGTGCTCCGTGAAAATGACAAACACTTCAGGCATGTGATAGGGCTCTCAGTGCATTTTGATTACGAGGAATAAAATTACTAGGAAATTCCTGGACTTTGAAAAAGATGATTCAGTATATTGTTTTTTCTTCAAAATATAAGAAGCTTTTCTCTTCTATAAAAATGTAGTGAAAAATAGCTCCAAGTCTCTATTCTCCAAGGTGGAGTGAGAAGTGACAGCTCTGCTATATTGACTGCCTTACTAACCATTAGAACTGCAACTTGCCTAAAGACATACATTCATAATCTGTCAGTTTTTTTCAAATACAGTCATAAAGAGCCCAAACTACTTAAGTGAGGAAAGTCTCTTTAGTGGCTAAAATACCAGAGGGAGTTGAATTTACTAAGAGAAGGTCTGGTCAAAGACAGGACTGAGAGGGGAATGGTATGCAACTTTTCGATTAGATAAGAGATGCTGTCCTCCTGGAGAGTTTACAGAACAGCCATGAGGTTTATGAAAAACCAATAAATACCAACCACTGGCTTGCTCTTTGGTCACATGTACTTCAATGCCAAATAGGCACCAGTTCAAAATGCTCTGATAAGGATAATTTTCTTCTGCATATCCCTTCCTCAAAACTAGAGATAAATACCATGCCTTTCAATTGGGGTAATGATACTCACAAATCCCCTCCTTACCCCCACTGTACTGCTCTCACCATCCTCAAGAAATAGAATGGTGTTTTAGAAAGCTGGCCAAGCCCAGTCAGAATTCTGAAGTAGCAGAGAAAAGAGGAGTAAGAGGAGGGAGAGGGGAAAGAGGAAAAAAATTAAAGGATTCTAGGACACAAATTTCTAGCATTTACTAAAGCAATACTTGCAACCGCTAAATCAGTTCTTACTTATAGGACACTATTTCTGAACACTCAACAAACTCATGTGAACTTGCATGGCTCACATCAAGTTCAGGGATGCAAAGAATTACTGAAATCTCACTTAGGCTGCAACCCAAAAGTTAAGTTTAACAACCTACCTTCTCTTCCGTTTTCTTTCATCTTTTTATCTTGTTCTATTAACCACTTCAGAACAAGGTGTCCTGCAGGATGTTCTGCAATGTGAAGCTAGGAGGCATCAAGAACACATTAATTTATTTCATACATGCCTTGGCCTACAATCTATTCTACATCACCATATACAGATAAGGACTCAGCCATGTTGAAAGTTCCATAAGGCTTAAGAGATCTTTATCTAGAATGACCATTATACCTGGAGGTCTATCCTAATCCCCAGACTAAAATGAGGACAGTTGTTCAAGACAACACAGCCACTGTTAACTAGTTTAGGCTGGGCTTCACGAGTCCCGGTTTAAAAAGCACCCCCAAAAGTTCATCTTGAGATCAAACTCACCACTTTTCAGACTGCGATATGCAGTTATGAGGTACAAATACACCTATGGGACAGAACCCTTTAGAAGAAACATTAAACACTAATGCTGAATGTTGACATACAGGCATTATCTGATTCCGGCCAAGAAAGCATCTTTTTAGCTCAATCTTACTCCTTTCTCAAGGCCATATCATTGTTCCCACAGTACTTAGGATCTCTCCTTTTGAAGCACGGGAAACAAGGGGCCCAATTTCTTTAAAAGAAACTTTCACTATGCACGCATCATCCCTATTTGCTAACATGATCAGCCTTATGAGGGCAGGGGCCCGGGCTTCTCTAAGATCCACAGGCTCCCGTATACGTCTATCTGTTCATCAGGAACTTATCACCTAGTGCAGGGCAAGGGTCCGCATGATCTGGCTTCTGCCTTCCTCTCCTCTTTGCTAAGCGACTTCCAACCCCTCCAACCGTCTGTTCTTACACAAGTTGCGCTCCTTCCTTCCTTCAGGCTGCTGCACATGCTCTTTCCTCTGCCGAGAATCTTCTTTCTACCATTCTTCACTGAGCTACTAATCCTTTGGGTTTAGCTTTCACTGCCCCACGGAAGCCTTTTTGGGGATAGGATGGCTCCCACTTACAATACCATAGAACCTGTAGTTTTCTTTCACAGCGCTTATTTCAATGTGAAATGATTTTTTTGAAATGATTATTTATTTAAATATTATATTCATGTTCATCAAAATGGTAAGCTTCTGGGGAAGAGGGGCAGCGTTGACCCAAATAAATATAGACAGAGCCTATCAGAAACAGCAAAGACTTTTTACAAAGAGGGGATGAGGGGAGATGTCACAGAGGATTCTAGGGACCCTGAAGGATGAGAAGGCTTTCTACATGGAAAGCATAGGACCACAGAGATATGGGCAAGACTCGAGACTGAGGGAAGAAGCATAGACAAATGAAAAGTGGTTCAAAAGTCCAGAAAAAAATTCAAAATAGAATTAAGAGCATAGAATACACTGGGAAGACAGCTTGGGGCCAATCATGGATAACAGAGACTTATTTTTGCTCAGGGAGTCACTGCAAGGCAGTGTTACAACAGCACTGTTTTGAATTCAGTTTTCAAATGCACTGCTGATATGCAGTGAGTGAGGCAGTTATGACTGAAATCCTCCTTGCAGCTTTCCTGCCTGTCTAAGAGCACATTACCTCTCCATCCTTGCCGCCAGGATGCAGTTCTGCTGCTGCCAAGCTGGCGACGGCATTCATGGCAGGTTGAGTGTCTCCAATGGCAGCTCCCAGAATGCAAGGCACCAACACACAGGCAGACTTATCTAGCACCATTTCTTGGGCGTGACCTTGCAGGTAGCTTAACAAAGCTGGGGAGATGGATTCTAAGAGCTCTCGGCGCCGGATCTCTGTATCTTTTTTACTGTTGGAATAGGTTGAATGAGTAGTAAGGTGAAATAAATGACAAAGGAAACATGGTGACTGTATTTTCACAAAAACCTCTAAACAATCTGTGGCATATGCTACTATATCTTTCTGTTATGCATGTGCTTAAGTGATTTGAGGGTGGGATGTGTTTTTCATGCTTGTGTCATAGTATGTGACTAGCACCTGGCACAGAACAAGCACTCAACAAGTGAAGCTTGCCTTATCCTATCTAATAAAAGAGAAACATGGTAATTAGCCATACCTCCGCTACCCTTCCCATTGGCTAATCAGGGCGATATGCAAATTAACTGCCAGCCAAGATGGCATCCGGCAGCCAGGCAGCTTGAAGAGAACATGAGGCTTGCTTGCTTTAGTGACGGAGGTCTCCAACGTTCCCCGCCTGCCGCTGCCGGCCTCTGAGCTTGCAGTTTGAAACATTGTTACAAATATAGAAGCTAAACAAAACCCCAGAAACCTGCTTTCAGCCAGCCAGGATCTCATAGCTGGAGTTGATACAGTGTTTCGATTATAGAACCCAAATAAACCAGATACCTGCTTTCAGCAGCGGAGGCCTAAAAGCTGGAGCCAAGCCTCAGAGCTAAAGCTGGCCCAGAATAAAAAAAGAAAAGAGAAAAAAAGGAGCGGTTGGGAGCTTCAGTCACCCGCCAGCCTAAAAACAGCCCTCAGCCCCTCACCCAGACTGGGCAGGCACCTCAGTGGGGACCCCCACCCTGATCCAGGACACCCTTCAGGGCAAACCAGCCAGCCCCCACCCGTGCACCAGGCCTCTATCCTATATAGTAAAAGGGTAATATGCCTCCCGGCACCGGGATCAGCATGACAGGAGGAAGCGCCCAAACCTCCTGATCGCCCTGCGGCTCTTTGTGTGACAGGGGGCGGGGCCACAACCTCCCTATCCGCTCTGCCCTGTTTTTGACAGGGGAAGGCGCCCCAACACCCTGATCAGTCCTGCTCTGTGCCTGATAGGGGGGAGCTCCCCAACCCCCTGATTGCCCTGCGGCTCTGTGTGTGACAGGGTGCGGTGCCCCAACCCCCCCACCGCCCTCCCCGCAACGGGCCCTGCTCTGTGTGTGACGGGGTAGAGCCATAACCTCCCCATCGGCCCTGCTCTGTGTGTGACAGGGGGCGGTGCCCCAACTCCCCTATAGGCTCTACTCTGTGAGTGACAGGGGGGATCTCCTCAACCCCCTGATCGGCCCTGCTCTGAGCCCAAACAGGGGCTGCACCTAGGGATTGGGCCTGCCCTCTGCCACCCGGGAGCAGGCCTAAGCCAGCAGGTCGTTATCTCCCGAGGGGTCCCAGACTGCGAGAGGGCACAGGCCGGCCTGAGGGACACCCCCCCCCCCCAGTGCACAAATTTTTGTGCACCCGGCCTCTAGTATAATAATAATTAAAAAAAACAACAACCTAAACCAATCCAAAAACCAAATGACAACAAAGTATCTTATAAGATATGGTACCAGTAGCTTTAAAAAATAAAAGCAAAACCAATACAAATCACACACCTAAGTACCTACTATGTACAAGGGGCTCACAGGCATTCTTCTGGCACAACACTTTTATTTTCAGGATAAAAATGAGTAAAGGTTTAAAAATGGAATACACTTGTTGAGTTTGGGAGAGAAAAGGAGCATGAGAAGGGGCCTGCATGCAGGAGTAGATTTCTGGAAGCAGGCACTACTGAAATTAATAAATCAGAGGACAAAGGGCGAAACCCGTCTACCGTTCTTACCTGTGTGCGTTTCCATCTCCTTTCTGCAGAACTTCAATGATTTCTCGTACTGTATGTGCAGGATCTCGGGGGCTTAGTAGGTACAACAGGACCTTCCTTCCATATTTGTCACTTAATATGTTAGACAAGGAACTAATAATTTCCTGTAAAATTACAGAAACAAAAAAAGTGAATCTGTATGCTCAAAGGATGCTTGGAATCTGAATGGCAAAGGAGGATACATACTTAACTATTTCCCCCAACTTACTTAATGGAAAATGTGCAGCTAGCTGTAAAATCGTCTCATTAAAGCACCAGAGATTTACACTCAGAACACAGAACAGATTCTCTGCTGTGACTGGCATTACTGAAAAATCCAAGGAGACTTAAAAATACTTAAAGCAGTTATCTTCAGTCACTATATAACCGATATTACTTAGGCCACCATTACCAGAGCAGATCGGTTAATTTGCAGCTACACTTAAGTGTAGCATCAGCATTGATGAAGAACATTCTTATCAGAATTTCCCACTGAAATGTATGTGGAGGGAGATAAAGAAACTCTCTTAAACAGGACAAGTGGATAAAGGCTTTTAAAGTTAGGTTGCTCGTTCATGGCAAATGAAGGCTACTTAAGTATCGCACGAGAAAGAAAGGGGAGGGAAACGTGCAGAAAGACTCCACAGAGCAGTTACAAGTAACTACACTCTATGGACAGTAACCTTTTCTAGTTGTATGAACTTAAGGAACAATGGCAATGGTATCCCTATCTCAACTAAGCTGTGCAAATTTGCTGTTTTCAAAGACAGAAAATTCACTGTTTAAAAATCCCTTTACACTTAATAGAGAATACACAACAGAAAAATCATCAGCTATTTCCCCCTCTAACATTCCTATTTCATGCCACAAGCCTAACAGATACTCAAAGCCATGTAGGTTTTAGCACCAGATATTCTCGACTGGTTGGGGCCATAGAAAGAATCAGGTCCAATCAGGCAGGTTTACAGATGAGGAACCCAGAAGGAGGAGAGGTAACTCAGCCACAGGACATACAGTATCAGTGGCAGGACTCTGACAAGTTCTGGTCCCTGATTCTAACTCTAGCCTCTTTCAAAGAAAACATAAGCTCTCTATTAAGGAAATGAATTCTCTATGAGATGATATACTCATATTTGCTATTCTCTTAAGTGCCTATTTATTACAATGAGATCAGTAATTTTAGTGCAAGGAACCAAACTAAAAATTAAGTCAGCCATCACCTCTCCCAAGAAGACATAAAAATGGCCAATAGATATATGAAAAGATGCTCAACTTCACTAGTTATTAGGGAAATGCAAATCAAAACAATGAGATACCACCTTATACCTATCAAAATGGCTACTATCAACAAATAAGTAACATGTGTTGGAGAGGTTGTGGAGAAAAAGGGAACCCTCATTCACTGCTAATGGGAATGTAAAATGGAACAGCCACTATGGAAAACAGTATGGCGGTTCATTAAAAAATTAAGACTATAGTTACCATATGACCCAGCAATCCCTCTTCTGGGTACCTACCTGAAAAATTTGAAAATATTTATTCATAAAGATATATGCCCTATGGTCATTGTAACATTATTCACGGTGGCCAAGATATGGAAACAATCAAGGTGTCCTTCAATAGATGACTGGATAAAGATGTGGTACATAGTATATATAATGAAATACTACTCAGCCATAAGAAAAGATGAAATACTGCCATTTGTGACACTATGGATGGATTGTGAGAATATCATGCTAGCGAAGTAGGTCAGATGGAAAAAGTAAAAAAAAAAAATCATATGATTTCACTCATATGTGGACATAAAACTGAAAGTGACAAATGAACAAATGAGTAAAAATTCATAGACACAGACATTAATATGGTGGTTAACAGAGGGAAAGGGGGTGAGGGGATGGAAAAAGAGTAAAAGGGGTCAAACATATGGTGACAAAAGGAGATTTGACTTTGGGGGTGAATATACAATGCACTATACAGAAGATGTATTACAGAATTGTACACTTGAAACCTATGTAATTTTATTAGTCCATGTCACACCAATAAATTTAATTAAAAATAATCTTAAAAAGAAAAAAATTAAGTTAGTCATCAACTATGGGATCATGATACAGCAAAGTCCATGACCCCGAGGTTGATGACACAAACCCAGATTCCAGACACATTTTCTCTTTAAATTCTCAAACATCTCTCGTTTCCTGCACAAAAGTATACTGTGCTTCCTGTAATTAGTAAGAGCAGCTAAACACTTAAGGTACTCACTAAGAACCAGACCCTATCTGAGAGTGCAATGTCCATCATCTTAAACACTCTTCACAGCATGATGAATGACAAAGGTACTGTAGCTTACTTTCATTTTACATGTAAGAAGCCCAAGGTTTAAACAAGTAAGGTGACTTAAAGTAGAGAAGTAAAGGTCACACATCCAGGACATGATCGTCTCTTTCCCTGACTCTAAACCCCACTCTGCTCTTCTACCTTTGAAGAAGTTTAAAGTCATGTTAAAAGATTTCCCTCTACAACATAAAGGTTTCCAGAGAACAGGTGCAATAGACCTAACCACCTCAAAAAGAATAGAAATTTCAACCATTCAAGGAAAATGAACAAAAATCTCAGTAAAAAGGGCAAGACAAAACAAAATTGTGCACTTCACAGAAGAAGGAGCTCTTTTGTAATTTCAAGGTAAACATGACACAAAGTGGATTCAACATATGCATTAAAAAAAAAAAATCCTCACCTAAGGACACGCTTTTATTGATTTTAGAGAGAGGAAGGGAGAGAGAGAGAGGGAAACATCGATTGGTTGTCTCCCACACACTCTGACTGGGGTTCAAACTCATAAGCTGGGTATGTGTTCTGACCAGGAATGAAACCTTTGATCCTTCGTTGCCCGGGAAGACACTCCAACCAATTGAGCCACACAGATCAGGGGTCAACATACACATTTTTGATAATGAAGCATTTAGTGCCACAAATAATGGGCTATCATTAGTATGGATTTTCCTATTTAAAGTTTAACCAATCAACTCATGAGAGCAAAGATGCTTTAACTTGCTGAAAGAAGAAGGTGAGGATACACAGCTTAGGCCAATTTCTGTAAAAACCCCACAACCTTTCTGTCCTAAAATACTATTGGCTATAATCCCTTTAAAACAGTTGCTTAAAAAAACAAAAAAAAACAAAACAAAACACATACAACAAAAACTCAAAATGGGTGAAGTATTCAGTGAAGAAATATAAATGGCTGCTATTATTCCTCAATGTACTTACTTTCTCTATGGGTTTCACACTTAAGGACTAGGGTAATATACATAGACATGGGGAGAAAAGCTTTCACTTTAACAAGAGAAGCTTAATTCCATGTACAAACACTATTCAAGGACTAGTGCCCAAACTCATTGCCTTTCAGTTTGTAATTTAGGAATTGAGAATCTGAAGTTATTTTTGCTTGAGTGTGAAACCACTTAATTCTCCTCGATCTCACCCTCATTCCAGCTTTCCTACCAAAAAAACATATCTAAAAGGAAACGGTATGAGTGCTGTCATATTAGAGCACTAATTCATTTCTCTTTAACCTAGTTAGAAAGAGGAGAGAAATTTCTAGTGAGGAGAACACTAATGAGTATAGTACATGTAGAAATAAGTAAGGAGAACCAGTCAACTATTGCAACTACTGGTATCGTTGACTTTTTGCTGAACTCAGTCTTTAAGTTCAAGGAGAGTAGCCTTTGGCAAATCTTTTAACCTCCCCACACATCAATTCCCTTATCTGTAAAAGGAAATGATGTATCTGCCTGACTTGTGGGCCATTACCAGGAGCAAAGCTGAAAATTCACACTGCAAACTGAAAACGGCTATGAAGTGACATATATTTTTTTTTTTATTACACAATGCAACAGGCTCTGCAGTGGTCCAGTGGGATGGACACGTGACTCTATACCAGCCGTGGGCAAACTACGGCCCCCGGGCCGGATCCAGCCTGTTTGAAATGAATAAAACTAAAAAAAAAAAAAAAAGACCGTACCCTTTTATGTAATGATGTTTACTTTGAATTTATTTTAGTTCACACAAACACTCCATCCATGCTTTTGTTCCGGCCCTCCGGTCCAGTTTAAGAACCCATTGTGGCCCTCGAGTCAAAAAGTTTGCCCACCCCGGCCATATGCAGCATTTTTGGCAACCCAGCAATTTTGCTAAGTAAATGACTTAGAGACACAAGGAGACATACAAGAATGCTCATAGAATTATTTGGAATAGCAAAAAAATATTGAGTTTTTAAAGTTTTAAAAATTGTAAACAATCTAAATGTCCATGTACAGAAAATGGAAGAATAAACTGCAGTATATTCATAGTAAAATACAATTTGGCATTGAAACAGAAATGATTTAGAACAGGGGTGGGCAAACAAAGGCACATGAGTCAACCTGCAGCCTATTTTTGTACATCCTACAAGTTAAGAATGGTCTTTACATTTTAAAGGGTTGTTACAGAATAAAACAAAATAAACGGGCAGCAGAGATCATATATATCCCACAAAGACTAAAATACTATCTGGCCCTTTTAAAAAGGGCTTGCCAACTCCTGATGATGAATTCCACAAACATAATATCAAAAGAAAAAAGCAAGTTACATAAGAAAATATACACAATATTACTGACATGGAATCTGTAAACATGCAAAATAGTACTATATATATCTACATATAGCAAAAGGATAAGGAAATGCATGTGAATAATAAACACAAAATCCATCACCATGGGTGAGGGTGAGGGTGGATATGCAATCATGGACAGGTACACAAAGGGCTTGAACTTTTACTGTATTTGTCAAGTTTCACTTCTTTATCAGACAGTAGGTGGCTGAATATCCACTGTATAATTCCTTATACCTTTCTGTATGTTTTAATGATAATATATTTCCTTTTCTGAGAAACACTGCTGTCAAAGCAGCTGCATCATACCAACAATTTCAGGGTAAAATGGGTAAAATTGTATAGGTATGTACAAAATTGGAAAGTAAAGTAGGTGGAAAACAGTGTGTATCTATTTTTTTAGAATGTTTTTTTATTGACATTTTTAAGGGAGAGGGAGAGAAGCATCAATGTGAGAGAGAAACATTGATTGGCTGCCTCCCTTATGCACACTGACCCACGGAACCCAAAACCTGGGCATGTGCCCCGATGGGGAAATGAACCGGCAACCTTTTGATGCATTGGATGACACTAAACCAACTGTACCACATCGGCCAGGGCAGTGTGTGTATCCAGTTAGAAAAGTGAGGGCTCAGCTGACCAGGCTGTTATATCAACATTGTATTTCAGGAAGACTGGCTACCCTGAAGAGAATTCTTAGCAACACTAAGCTTTCTTGTGTATTCTGAAAAAGAACTGCATACTGCAACAGGTTTTCTGGTAGATGGGTGGGGAAAATGCAAGTGCAATTAGCATTCCAGGATTTTATCACCAGCTACATAGTGTAATGACACACACAAGCTGTTGAGCATTTGTCAGCTAGAGGCAAGAGATCAGTAAATCAGGCCATTCTCGGAAAGCTGCCCTGAGTATGAGAAAGTCATTAGGAATGCGGGTTAAGTAGTGGTGGGAATCAATCTGATAAGCACAAGGAATTAAAACTGTTTCAATAGCAACTTTAAGTGGGCTAAATCTTGGGAAAATATCCAGCAGACAAATTGTGGCAAATTCTGAAGGAAGTATAGTTTCTCTTGAAATCTATCTGGAACAATTATGCAAATTTTACTTGTCCTGAATTTATTAAACAAAAGCAAACTTTGAATAGCCCAGCCTGTTTCCATTTTCATGAAACAACTTTATTCATTAAAAAATCTATAGCCTCACATCACTGTCACTGGAATGAAAAACAATCATTACTGACTGGAGTCAAAAGGGTAATAAAGATACAAGGAACATGTCAAAAAACTCAGTTTGTGACATGAAAGTCTTGCCAAATGGTTTCTTCCCACAATCTTATCCCAAAGAAAGTCATCACAATCTTAACATAGTCAAGGGGAAAGTTGGAAAATGACAGCCAGGGCATGAGAAACTCACATACACTGGGACGTACAGCTGGCATCTAAGAAAAATCTCCTTCCCCTCTGCTAGCTGATACATTTTCCCCTACACCCAGCTCTACTGGTCTAGACAGGCTACAGAGAGAGGCCACAGCACTGCCACATGCCAACAGGTAAAGTCTCTTTCTGAACCCCATCTGCTTCTCTCTGCAGCTGGCATGAAAGTTTTTGTCACTGAGATTTCTCCAAAGGCCCCATCCATGGCATCAAAGAGAAACGTTTGTGTAATTTTCAGATGAATATTTCTATACAGATTATGTGGTTTTTACAATGTATCCAAGTTTTGTCCCTGCAACCAATGCTGCAATTTCTTAACCCCAGCCCTGCAACCTCTATTACATATCCAACACTACCTGCACACTAGAAATAAGGAAGGGAAGAGGCGAGCACAGATTCAGAAGTCAATCATTGCAGAATGAAGGAAATGATTTCGGAATGCAGTTTTTACTTTGGAGTAATACTTTCAAGAGGACAGCTCAGTTTTTCTGAAGGAAAATTTAGGGTTAAATAAATTGCATTCAATTATTACCACTTTATTGTCATTATACTAGGCTAAAAGGAATTGCTGAAATGTAAAAAGGAAGCTAGTATTTTCATTTTAGTAATAATTTTTAATCTGACTCTACAAAAACTTTCATGAAAGCTCTAGGAAGGATCACAATTGAGTTTTATCAGATTTGCCTCTCCAGCTCAATCAGGACAGATGTACTGACAGGCTGGGTAACTGTGCAGTGGTAGTTTCTCCACAGGGAGAGGGAGAAAGGTCACAGGTGTCCTCTGCCTGGATATGAGCTCCTGAATAATTGAAGAATTACTATGTCAACAAATTTCTAATCAAATCTAAGCACTGCTTTGCTAAATTTTCATTTAATATATCATATGGTCTAAAAAGTCATGTTATCCTAATTTAACCATTCTTTTACATATTTAAAACAATAATTATTAATATCAAGTTACTAGATTATGGTTTATACAGGAATAAAGCAAATCCCCCAAAGAGATTTAATGTCAACTAATAAATAACGAAATACCATCAAGGAGCAAATAATTCAAAGTCTTTACACATATATATGTGAAATAACACTTACAAATCCACAAATGATATATCAATGTAACTTAAATTCAAGACCATGATAATTACTTACAGATATGATTATCTGCTTCACAAGCTTAGTATCATCAATACAATCAAACGCCGCCAGTAAAACCAAATGGGAGTATTGGCCCTGTAAGAATCGAAAGTCAGGAAAGGTTAAAAAAAATGCATAGCTTCTCCCTTTTCCACCCCTGGAGTCACTTTATAAAGGTTACCAACCTGGTAACCTGCACAACATAATACAAATAAGAGGGATAAAAGCCATTCAAAGGAATTCTTATCAGGACCTAGTTAATAATATTCTAGGTTGATTTTTTAAAAAGAAAAACAGAAAAGCACATTCTTCAATATCAAATAGCCTGGACTCATTACATCTTTCAAAAATAGGTACTCTGTTAATGAATAGCTACTAAAAAAGATTAAACTAGCCGAAACCGGTTTGGCTCAGTGGATAGAGCATCAGCCTGCAGACTGAAAGGTCCCAGGTTCGATTCCGGTCAAGGGCATGTACCTGGGTTGCGGGCACATCCCCAGTGGGAGATGTGCAGGAGGCAGCTGATCGATGTTTCTCTCTCATCGATGTTTCTAACTCTCTATCTCTCTCCCTTCCTCTCTGTAAAAAATCAATAAAATATATTTAAAAAAAAAATTAAACTAAAAAAGAAATGCAATAGTTTAAAAAAAACCCAAGACTATAAAACATAACACTATTATATAAATCCAAATATAATTATACATATACAAAGTATACAAAATACATGTATACAGAAAATCTTAGAACATTATAATGTAATAGTCACCTCTGGGTTGAAGGATAAAAACTTTTCATTTTCCTTTATATACTGTCCAATTTCTTTAAAATAATTCTATATAATTAGACTAGAAATACTAAAAATAAACTAGAAGAATATACTTATATACTGAATGAGAAATAAAAACAATTATGTTTAAAAAGTATAACAGCAAGAGATCATACAAATACACACTGTGAATTTCACAATGTCCACCTCTTGAACTGACAGAATTATCCAGGATGCTGATATAGTTCCAAAGAGTTAAAGAACTACTTTATAAAAAAGAAGAAGAAAGTGCATTCAGAGTTTGAGGCCTATTCTTCTTGTATTCTAGATAGTATGAACCTTTTTTACTTTGAGAGGGCATTTGACTTTGATAACCCTCTTCAGAGCCAGGTCTGATGAGTATGGCAAATAATAACATTTCAGTTAGACAAATAACAAAGGTCTAACATCTTTACAATATAAAGACCAACAATCTACTAAAAATGGGCAAAGAAACTGAAGAGTCAGTTCACTGAAAAAGAAATACAAATGGCTCTAAGCATATGAAATAATGCTCATTAATTAAAGGCAATAATTAAAACAATAAAATATCATTTTCTACCTATTCTATAGGCAGAAGTGAAAATCCTTGATAATATACTAACTTGGCAAAGGTCTGGAGAAAAGCAAGCACACTTTTATGTTGTTGGTGAGAATGCAAAGTAGTTCAACTATTTTGAAGGGCAACTGACAACATCTAAAAACTTAAAATGCATGTACTTTCTGACTCATCAATTCTAGTTCTAGAATTATCTTATAGCCATGCTTCCACATATGCACAGTGGACATGCACTGGAGTACTATTTAAAATAACAAAAAACTAGGAACTACCTAAGCGTCCAATAGTAGGGACTGGTTAGATAAATTATGAAACTCATATAATGAAATATTATGACGTCATCAAAAAGGTGAGGTAGATAGATGTACATATATGTATGTTGAAATAAAATGACCCCTGAGACAAATTAAGTGAAGGAAACAAAGTAGAGAATAATGTGCATATAGTACACAAGCTTTGGTTTCTGATTTTTTAAGTCTGACACACAGGAACATGCCCAAGCACAAAACATCTGAGTGAATACAAAAATAGCTGGTACAGAATTTAAGTGAGAAACAGACAATTCACAATTACAGTTGGAGATTTTAAGGCTTCTTTCAGTAACTCAGAGAAAAATGATAAATAAATTAGTAAAGACTTTGATTATCTGAACACTATCAACCACTTTGATCTAATTGACATTTATAGAGTACTACACTCTATAACTCCACAAAACACTTTCCTTTCAAGATACCAAGATAGACCATGTTAGGCCATAAAATAAGTATTTAGAAAAGAATTAAAATAATAGAGTATGTCAGGAAACCCCCAATATTTGGAAATGACACACTTATAAACAATCCGTAAGTCAAATCCATGGATTGTATTAATTTAACTCCCCCCTTAAAGGAACTTCTTGAGATAAAAAATACATTGCATCGTTAATTTCTTGTTACCATTACAATGCCTTGCGGGGATTAGTTTCTTGAAAAAATTTGTTGTTAAAAATAAACTATGAAGTTAAAATAATCTAATTTTATTACTTAAAAATATCTTTTACAACTAATACTTTTTAGAACTTTCTACTAACATCTTGTTTATATTTATTTCTAATTTAAAATATTCAAACTAAAATGTTATACAAAAAGACTTACTTGATGATGAATAATAAATCATAAAATATTCTCATACTCTGATACAACCCACTAGAGAATCTTATTTCATTTTGTTACAGAAAAGTTAGCTGCCTTTTAAGTGGTTTTATACTCTCCTCCTGGTCTCCAATCCTACAGAAGACAACAGGTATGTATTCATTCACACAGCAGCAAATGTGCTTGAATTAGTATTTACTACATTAAGATGCTAGTAGTTCTCATTAGATTTTTTCATAGGAAAAAGTTGTTGATAATACAAATTTTAGTTCTCCAATAAATAAGAGGTTATAAAACATAATATAATAACTCAAAAAATGTTATAGTATTTGCTACTACAAATACAGGGTGGGCAAAAGTAAGTTTATAGTTGTAAGTATGCAAAACATTAATGAGGTCATTAGTGCCTCACAAAAACTTTATACATCCTCTAATTTACCAGGAAAGCTGTTACACCTCCAAAGGATTCCAAAGAACTGAAAATTTAACTAGAATTTATTCTAGGCAGCAATTTCCATGCGTAATTAATATGATTGAACAAATTCACTAACTAATGTAGCAAATATCAAGTCTTCGAAAAGTATCTAATAAAAGTGGAAAATGAGTCACTATGCAATGTTAAATAAAGGTGAAATTTCATTTTGTGTAAGTTTAATATATAAAAATGCATGCATATGCATAGAATAAGATTGTAATAAAATAAAGAATAAATTTATTGGTCGTTTTCTTAAATTTTCAAATTTTCTGTAATAAACATGGTTTCATTTTATTAACAATTAAAAGAAATATTATTATACTTACATTAGCCACCTTTTCAACATAAGTCTTCATTGTTTTCACAATCACTTTCCTGTCCTTAAAAAAAAAAAAAAAAATCTCAACTTTTAATTAGAGATTTAAGGTATTTCATAGATAAAATTTTGATTTAATATTAAGTTGTCATTGGAGTGGCTTTATACTATCCTCTGGTCTCGAACTATTTCCATTAGTGAAAATAGTTATACAGCCAGAACAAAAAAAATTGCAATATATTAGCCCTTTCAGAGCTATTAGGATCTTACATTTGTATGTGAAATCCATTCAGACATAAATATGAGTCATAAAATTATCAGTTGCAAGACTAACCTAGAGAAATGACCTTCTTTTACAGTGAGAAATGAGAGATCCCTCTTCCAATGTCTGAACAGTCTTCAAATATATAGTCTATGGCATTCAATACATATTTGTTGAAATTAAATTTGTATTAATGTAAAATGTGGACAAAGTACAGTGGAGCCTTGACTTACGAGTTTAATTCGTTCCGAGACCGAGCTCGTTAACTCAAATTACTCTGTCAACTCAATGCAAAAAATCGGCCGAGAGACAGCTGGTATCCCAAAAAACTCGTTAGTCGGGACACTCGTTAAGTCAAGGCCCCACTGTACAACTGTCTTTTAAAAGCAGAATTATACTGATCAAAGAAATGAGAATCAGTTGTTAAACTTCTGTAGTTCATATGGACTTTTCCCTCAAAATACTTAACATCTGTATGAGCAAATGTGTAACTGTTCATTATCTCCTCCCCCTGTGCTTCCTCTCCCATTAAGAAAAATAAATATTGTATTGATTTGATTAACACATCCCTTTCCAAATAATGACAACTCAAGATTTTCACACTTTACTGAAAACTCCAGCAGTGAAAAAAATTGTTGTTATAAAGTATAAAGTTAAAATAATCTGACTTTACTACTTAAAAATGTCTTTTACTACTACTACCTTTTAGAACTAGGCCCAAAGAAGGCCAATTCCTGTGAGGCCCTGAGGCACAACTTTGCAAAGATAAGCAGTTTATGCACAACGTAAGACCTAAGGAGACAGAAAGTCTGAGGAAAGCAGGCCAAGCCCTGACACTTACCTTGGGCGTGCCATGCCACAGGCAGTGCATGGCCACTCTGGCACCATCGTGTGTGTGTGCCAGGTACACCACCGCTTCACGGATGGCTTCGATCATTTCCTGGGGAACAAATGCCATCAAGGCTTTAGTTTATGCTTTCTTTCTGCCTTTAAAACTAATCTGTCTGCTAGGGAGCAGTTAAGCGCAGAGAATGAAAAAGATTATAGGTAGCAAACAATTTAATTTTTCATTTTGTAGACAAGCACACGCATATATATCATCTTTCTAGGAATATTCTTTTCCATCAGGAGTGACAAATATTGCTGACAAGCAATTTCTATTAAAATACACTTCTATTTTATCAAATATGTCTATATTAAAATGCAGTGTCTATTTAAATAAGAATGCATATATACAATATATTCTAAATGATTTTTTAAGAAAAAGAAGGCTAGGAAGTGGCTATGGTAAAAAGAAAAGCCAGATAAAATAAATAAATAAAATGCTGTTTCCTAAAAGGGAAGAGAACCAAAACACTAGTTTGGCCTAAAAAGTTTCTCTTTTTTAGTTTATCACTGGATTACTTCTAAGAAATCACATTAATAATTCACCATAAAAACACTAAACAACATTTCCCTAATAAAATTAATCTCTATATTAGACTAGGCCAACACTATCAATGACTCTTTAGTAAAAAACCAATTGTTACTTTCTTATAAGGTAGTCTGGCTTAAATTATATTTTGGAATTATAGATGTAAATGAGTTCTGGCAGTTAACAACTGCAGGGTCCCATTTTAGCCCATTCCCAGTGAAAAAATTTATATTAAATAAATAAGTACAAAGTCTCCTGCCAGGAGAGAGGAAGGTAGGTGCCTATTTTCTTCATAAGGAACAAGCAATTCCATCCTTAATTATCTTACAATCCTTACCCAGGATAAATCTCAACAGCACAGCTTTCAACTTATGTACCTAAACTTATGAATCTCTTCAAAGCTCTCCAGCTGGAGAGCTATATATATATTCCAATTATGCTTCCACTATCCCCAAAAGGTTTTTTTGTCTCTCTTTTGAAAATGCCCCAGGGCCAGAAAAGAGTTGCCTCATCACTTTATATTGACACTGGGTTCTCAATGATTGATTTTGCTATTACTAAAACACATTTAACACTAAAAACAAAGATTTTCCACCATTGAATGTATTGAAATGATCACTTTCCAGTTCTGAAAATAGTCCTGCCTCAGTACATCTAGAACTGTGAGATACTGTGCTATGCAGGGGCAGGAGAGAATTCCTCCAAAGAGAAGCAGCAGCTGCTATGGTCACCGAGCCACAAGCTCAGGTGGGTGGTTATTCTTGGGAAATTATTTTGTATGTCAATTTCCGGCAGGTCAAAATTCCTATGAATGTTTAGTCTGGCATATGTGTTAGGAAGTCAGTGTTACTACTTTAGTGATCCCTTATTATTAGGATGAGGACAATGAGCTCACTGTATGGTGAGGCAAGCAAAGTTCAGGGGACTAGATGATGAATTCTCATTGGTATTCCCATCACTGACTTGAAGGGCAGTGCAATTTACCTTTAGTCTCTGTTTCTTTTCTATCACATGAGGTCCAATTTTTTATGGTTCATTTAGTTTTACATAATTGTCCTCCTCTAACCTTTCCCCCTCTCTAATCTGTTAACACCAACATAATTTTTTTGGTATCGGTACAGGTGAATTTCAAACTACTTGAATATCCCTCTATTTGTTAGTTAATTTTTAAATTAGGTTAGCTAGAGGATACTCTGGATTATAAGTAAAATATAAAAATTAAATGGAGTTGATAAAACTATGATCAATTCTACTGCCTTCCGGTAAAAATCTAAAGGAAATTAGCAGAGTTGCTTAAAGGAAGTTTACTGCATTATCTTCTTTAAATAAGTAGCTTTTCAAAATTCCCAAAAGACAATGTATATCAAAGCAGTATTTTACATATTAACATTTTGGTCTAAAAACTAAAACCAAGAACTTACTGATCTTAGCTTTGGGGGCGCATAGGTAAAAAAGTCCAAGAATACTTTATGCACCAATGAGTGCTTAATCACAGCTTCCCTGGAAATAGAAAAAAGGGAAAAGAGAATACATCAGATCTGCCACTACACTAATATAGACATAGTAACCTCACTTGTCCTAAAATAATCAAAGCAAGTGAAATGGTTTCAGGGAATTTAATTCATCAAAAGACAGATTATATCTTTCAGCAATATTAAGAGTAAAAAAATAACGTTTAGCCTTAGCCGGTTTTGCTCAGTGGTTAGAGTGTCAGGCTGCGAACTGGAGGGTCCCTGGTTCGATTCCCAGTCAGGGCACATGCCCAGGTTGCGGGCTTAATCCCCAGCATGGGGCATGCAAAAGGCAGTCCATCAATGATTCTCTCTCATCACTGATGTTTCTCTCTCTCTCTCCTTCTCCTTTCCTCTCTGAAATCAATAAAAATATATTTTTTAAAAAAACCTTTTAGATTATAGAAATATTTTAGTGCTTACCATCTATGATCAAAACCAGGATACAGATCGCTAGTATTTAACCAGCAGATGAAATCATTGAAAATACACTCTCTTAAATAAGAACATCTATATTCTTTACCCAACAATGGGCACATGATTATAAACCTATTTTCTTTCTGTCAAGCAACCTTCACAATGCATCAGTTTCATAAAATAATTTTAGCAAAGTTAAAACCCAAGTAGATCAAAACATTACCAGCAACTGCCAACACCTAACTGACCCAGACTTCCTAGTGTGACACTTGGTGAATTCAGGTGTTACAGTGGAGGCTGATGGTCAGGCACCAACAACTTCAAGTTCACATTGAGTGTTTAAATAGACAGCAGAAACATATTGCTTTTAGGGGCAAAGCACTGTTCTGAATATTCTGGAAATATCAACCCATATTCATGAAACTCTGTAACAGGGGTCCTCAAACTACGGCCCATGGGCCATATGTGGCCCGCCGAAAACATTTATCCCGGGAGTTTTTGCCGCCACTGCCTGTCCTGCTTAGCAGCCGACTTGTCCCGGGCCCGCAGTGTGCATGTGTGGAATGTCTGAGGGACAGTGAACTGGCCCCCCGTTTAAAAAGTTTGAGGACCTCTGCTCTATAAAATATGTACTATTATTATCCCAATTTTATAGATATGGAAACTGAGGCACAGAAAGGATAAGTTGCCCAAGGTCACATAGTTAGTGACTGAGGGGGCACCAGGATTCACACCCAGGCCGTCTGGTCTGAGGCTACATCTTAATCCCTCCACCATGGTCCAAATGCCCAATTTCTAAGTCTTAGAATCCAACTGAAATAACATTATATTTGGAAAACTATCCATCATCCTATGCAAGGGCTATACAAAACTTTCCTCCTTCAAATGCTATTTGTTAAGAAAACAACAGCAACAGCTTTCTTACTTTTGGGCCATTGGAGTTAGAATCTGTTTCATTTCATCCATGATAAGCTCCAGTTTTTCTGGCTGTACCTTTAACACTTTGTCCAGAGTTGGGTGATCTGCTGACTGCAACAGAAAAAACATTAAAGCCCTCTAAACTTAATGACGTTTCTTCAGCTTCATAGCAAAGAAAACCAACACTTACTTAAATAAACTTAAAGTTTCAGACATCCCATATTCATATAACAAAAGCCCTGCTATAGATACAATTGTAGAGTAATTCTTGATTATCTCATTCTCAGTGTGTACACCCACCAATGTACTTAAAAGAGCCATGCTAACCAACCAACTCAACAGCCAATAGGTACTTGTCAAGCACCTAACAGGGGTGGGCAAACTTTTTGACTCGAGGGCCACAATGGGATCTTAAACTGGACTGGAGGGCCGGAACAAAAGCATGGATGGAGTGTTTGTGTGAACTAATATAAATTCAAAGTAAACATCATTACATAAAAGGGTACGGTCTTTTTTTTTTTTAGTTTTATTCATTTCAAATGAGCCGGATCCGGCCCACGGGCCGTAGTTTGCCCACGGCCTAGCACATGCCTAATCACAAAATCAAGTAGTCAGCTGAAAATCCTTGCCAACATGTGTTTTGTACTCACCTACAGTGACAGTTACAAAAGAAATAAAGCACTAAATTCAATCCAGGACTTGAACCTGACTGGTAGAGGCAACCCAGGAATTAATCCATACCCCTGGAGGTGAGTGTGGGCATTTATGTCCCAAGTCTGGAATAGATCCTTTAAATGTCCTATTTGCATTCCTGGCCTTTTCCAGATTCAATCCCTGTGACTATATCCAACGTTGGGCCTCTCTACTCCCATTCCTCTCTAGATACAACCTGGAGAAGAGTAATCCACACACATGAAGAAACACAGGAAAAGGCAGCAACAGGGAGCCCAATGCACTTTGGCCAGAAGCTTCACTTCTGTTAAGAGTCTTCTACCTAGCCCTAACTGGTTTGGCTCAGTGGATAGAGCATTGGCCTGCAGACTCAAGAGTCTTCTACCTCAGTCTATCTGACTGCAGAAACGGAAGTACTGAAGCATTACACACGGCATTTGGGAGGGAGTAACGACAGTAGTTCAATTTAAAGGGGATTTAAAAATAGTGCTCCGGTTGAAAGAGAAAGTATAAACACTTGCTCACTATACTGGAGACAAAATAATACATAAAAAAAAGGGGGTCTTTTAAGATGGTCTCTTGAAGGACCAGCCAAAGTAAAAATACAGTTTGAAAACAGGGCATCAGAAGGTAAGTAACAGCTCACAGGAAAAGCAAAAACACTAGAAAAATGCTTTGAAGTGCTACCTTATAAAGCTGAAATGTGTTCCCATAGAGCTCCTCTGTCAACATGTTTCTCTGCTCTAAAATGGCTTTGTCGTTGTATGCGTACTCCACGATGGCCGAGGCTTCCGCGTGTCGGAGCATCTTCCTCACGTGGCCTTTAAAACTTCTGATTATCTCTGCAATCTGAGGTTTACCCCTAAACCCGATGAGATAATGGGAAAAGGTAAGTGATACAGGAGAAGGCTGGTAACAACAAAACATGACTTGACACCAGCATAACTCCTGAGACCAACTCATCATGAGGGTTGAGGGGTGTCTACCACAGAGAAATGCTGATGGGAAAGAAAATCAAACTGCCTTGATTTCTACCTCAAGCTTCTAAGTTACTCGGCGGCCGAAACCTGGCTCTGCTTATCAGCTGCAAGACCCTGAGCAAGTTATTTAACCTCTCTGTGCCACAGCTCCTTCATTCATAAAATAGAAAGAAAAATGTTCATGTGAGGATTAAATGAGCTAAGAGGTACTGAGAACTATGACCAGCTCGTAATAAGTGCTCAATAAATGTCAGTTCCCATTAAATTATTCAGCTTGAGAAAAGTAGGGAAAGAGAAAGGGGAAGGTAAAAGTCAAAGATGCATAGAAATAGGAATAAAACATATTCTAAGGATGCTCTTTTAAAACAGAACTTAATCACAAGTATTTATATTACATCCTAAAATCAAGCAGCTGATAATTATAGTCAGGAATAGCTGTTGATGAAAATTTTGTCAACAGTACTTTTTTGTTGTTGATTAACATATTTTGGCACATTATTACACTCAGAAAGAGAAATCAAGACAAATATCAATTCCACCTAATTCAAGAAATCCTCCCATCTTGACATTTCTTCATCTTATTATTTTTTTAATTCTTACTCCAAGATATTTTTCCATTGATTTTTAGAGAGAATGGGAGAGAGAGGGAAAGACAGAGAGAAATGTCGACATGAGAGAAACACATCGATTAGTTGCCCCCTGCATGTGCCCTGGCCAAGGCAAGGGCTGGAGAGGAGCCTGCAATCGAGATACCTGTCCTTGACCGGAATCAAACCCAGGACCTTTTTGTCCACAGGCTGATGCTCTATCCTCAGCCAAACCAGCTAGGGCCCATCTTGACATTTCTTGACCCACTGGCTCTGCCTCTGCCTCTGTGTGTACTCACCTGCACCTCCCAACCCTCTCCCCTCTAAATACTGGTAACAAATTACAAGTTAATTATCCTACTTCTCTTCTTCTAGGGTTTCAAAATATATACTAAGAATGGTGAAGGCAGTGCCATCAATTTACATCAATTTCAGTATTTGCAGAGGCAGAGCTGCCTCAAACAGATTGTCAAACTGCAGCAGGAAGGCCGGGGAGGGTTGCGGGACAGGAGGTAGGGGGGTAAGAGATCAACTAAAGGACTTGTATGCATGCATAGAAGCATAACCAGTGGACATAAGACATTGGGGGATAGGGGAGGCTAGGGGACTGTCTAGGGCGGGGGGATAAAATGGACACATATGTAATACCCTTTGTAATACTTTAAGCAATAAAAAAAAAAAAAAAAAAAAAAAAAAAAAAAAAAAAAATTTCAGTATTTGTTCTTAAGATCACACTCCCTGGAAACATTACAAGCAACTGTTGAGGGTCATTCTTATGGTCACAGACATTCAAGAAACATTTGCACACAACTGGCACCCACATCTTTAAAAAACTAATATAAATAGATTTTATAAATAAAACAACTCACCCATACATCAGAAATTTCTTAACAATATTTCTGGAATATTTAGCTTTACTTAATTCAACCAAATCATCTGGAAAACAAAATATATTACAATGACTCCTTAGAAACAAAGGAAAGAACTAAATAAATGCATAATCCTGGGAATATAAACAACTAGCCCTGTCTATCCCAGGCAAAGAACAAATAAAAATTTAAACAGTCCTACAGAGGACACACTGCTTTCCCACAACAGAATTCTTTTGCAGGACAGTCTTGGGTATTTCAAGAGAAAACAAGTGACTCATTACACATGATCAAAATTAATCTTCAAAATATAAGAAATACCTCGTAGTTCTTCAAAAGCCTGTTTTCTCTGTTCTTCATTGCCAAACTGAATGTAACACTGGATCACACGAGTTGAATCATGAGCAAATGCAATCTGTAGGAAAGACAGTTTGGGCCTTTAGACTAATTCTCTCTGAGATTTATGTTTCTATCATCCTATCTTATCCTATATAATAAAAGGCTAATATACAAATGGACTGAACAGCAGAACGACCGGTCACTATGACGCGCACTGACCACCAGGGGACAGACGTTCAACACAGAAGCTGGCCCCTGGTGGTCAGTGTGCTCTCACAGGGGGAGCAATGCTCAGCCAGAAGCCGGGCTCACAGCTGGCGAGCACAGCGGTGGTAGCGGGAGCCTCTCCTGCCTCCACGGCAGCACTAAGGATGTCTGACTGCAGGCTTAAGCCATCAGTCAGACATCCCCTGAGGGCTCCCAAACTGTGAGAGGGCACAGGCTGGGCTGAGGGACGCCCCCACCCCCAAGTGCACGAATTTCATGCACCAGGCCTCTCGTATTATTTATGTTTTATTACTATCACTTTCAGAATTCCTTGCTAGATAAAAGGTAGGGTCTCCATGGATAAAATTAAATCTAAGCTACTGGGGAGTAAAAATACCCGTTTTAATGGTACAAAATGGCATTCTTTGGTTTTGCTGCCTAAAATACAGCACTGAGACAGGAACAGATTTAACTATTTTGCAAGATTCCGATCATTATTATTTAAAACCAAAAATCAAAGCAAACCTGTCTAATGATTATACATACCATATTTCTCATTCTCTGAAAGTTACTTTCCCTAAAAGGGAAGTTTTTTATTCAAAAATTCTATTCTTTTATGATCTTTTTAAATCTAAGAAAGTTTGGCTTTGGCAACCAAAGATATAGATCTAAAAAAAGTCTTGCTACACAAGTCAATACACATTGGTAATCATAAGTTAATCCCTCCATTTCTTACATTTTTATTATGATTTCCTAAACATATCAAATTATATTCCTAGAAATTTGTTGTATTTCAAATCTAATTCCCCAACCCACTCCCTCATCAAAACTACTGGATAGATTAGGTCCTCAATGAAGGGAGGACTTGCTGATCAATTTTCTATAGCAACAACTATCAGTTATGCAAAATTATTTTTTACTATGATATAGTATCTGTCTACTTTAATAGTGCTTATTAGTTGCTCAATCTGTCTCTAAAATGTTTTAATTCCAAAAATCAGAAGGTGAGGTACACACCCATCAAAGCCACAGATTTCATTAGAATTTCCTTAAGGGGTATTTATATAGACATTAATGATTAAAACCAAAACAATTTTTAAAAAATAAGGCCGCTTTTGTACATATATTGACTACTTACTACATACCCAATATACATGGTTTAAATATATTTTTCTCATGTAGACCTCAAAGCCACCTTAAGAGTGGGCTGTTGCTATTCCCACTTTACAGATGAGAAAAATAAATGTATGAGACATTAAGGAACCTGCAATCCCTGTGATCCTGGAGATGAAAGTTAACTTGTCTGAGTCCCAGATGTATGAAATGTCTAATAGGGATAATAACGTTAAGTAAAGGAGGCAACATATGCATTGGTTAGCACAACTCCTAGCACACAGTACATAATAAATATGTTGTAATTGTCCAAAGGTACAGATGCTAAGCAGCAGAGTGAATTGAACACCAGATTTAAACACCCACGTCCATGGGCATGTACTAATAACCTAAGAGTAACTGGGGAAGGATCCTGAGTGTAAAATGTTTATATATAGAGGATAACAGACTGCTGGAGCAGAGAAACAGTTCTTTCTAAAAAGATCCTGCCAGATGTATACGGAAGCAGCAGCGAGGAACTTTCCTTCTAACTGCAATGTAGCCTGTCAGACCTCTGTACATGGTTTGGCACATGCTGCTCCTCCAGAGTCCCCAAAGCTACTGAGTCTGCTGTCTCACAGGTGAACAGTCGCTAAGTATTTATCCAAATACACGAGTCAACCGTTTACTATAAACAGGATTAAACATCAACAATGAAAATTACATTAGAACTCCCAAACTTGTAACATTTGAAAGATCTTTGCATGTTTGTAAAAGCATGAAAGAAAGAATAGTTTGCATCACATGCCTAAAAAGCCAGTAATTTAGAACATACAAAAGAATAGAGTCCAGAGCAAGACATTTTACCACATACTACTTAAATAAATTCTTCAAGATAACTTTCAAGAACACTGATTTATCTTAAGTAAATTATTTTAAAATGACACAGCCAAATACTTGTTTTTGTTTTTTTTACAATTTCCCAGCAATATATTCTCTAATTATTAAACTTTTCATTTAGTCACTATTTGAAATTTTTGGCTAAATGCATTTAAAATAACAACAATTTCACTTGTCATAAATGGCCAGCTACCCTTTACAGAGTAAGTCAATTTCAAGAGTTAAAATTGCAACTGTAAGTATGCCCTACTTACAGTTTTAATTTTTCCTTGAATCAACTTCTGCAAATCACTCATCAACTTCACTCTTTTTTCTTTGTCACAGTCTTTTCTATAAAAGAGAATAAAAGAGGGTGGAAACATATAGCTTAAGCGAAGACATTTTATACACCCGAAACTAAAAACTGCTTCAGTGTATGTTCACCCCGTTAAGTGTGATTTTCTCTTTGAAGGCAGCAAACCTTTTGACATTAACATTACTATTCCAGAGCAGCCAGAGAGAAGTAATTTTCTCAAAGGCAGAAATTCATCTCACAAGGTATAATTTCATGCATCAATCTAAACCTTCACAGCCAGAACTTCAAAAGTGAAGAAAATAATAAAACAAGTGCAAGACACCAAAGATTTAAGTATCTCAAAACCTAGCTGATGAGAAATTGTCCTTCATTTTCTCAGAAATCTTTCAGGAAGGATGTCAAACCCAATTTAACTCGAATGCATTTTTACAAACATATCTGACACCATCCTAGTGATCCCCACATTTCTAAAACAAGAAGATATCCAAATACTGATACCTCCACTGGAGTGTTATAAATGCTCCCTAAATAACCCAAGTGCTGTGTCATTTGCTTATGACATCTCATTATCTACCAGGCATACTCTTACTCCTCCATCATCTCAAAGAGGCCCATAAAGATGCCACTAGGTAGCATTACCTTCTCACGATCTCCCAAATCTGCTTTGCCCGAACAACAATGTCATAGTTGGTTCTATCGCTGAGTTGTCTGCTTTGCTTCAGTTCTTTCTTCTTCTTTTTGAAATCATCCCATTTGGGTTTCTTGGCTGCTGATTCTAATTATTATAGAAATTATTTCCAATTATATTTAACATTCTGAGTGCCACAGACAAGTATAAGTCAAGTACATAGGGCAATCATTGATCAGGATCTACATATACTATATGGGGAAGCTAGAAGGGGGAAAATATCTTTCTCTATACACTTATACTTTATTTCATTCTTTGAGCAGTTTACACATTTTAAATTTGGTTCAAAATAGCCATCCATTTATTCAGAAGCTATTTATTGATTCTTAAGAGGATACCAATTAAAAAAAAAAAAAAGGAAAGCAAAAGGATTGTAAAAAGCAATTCAGAACTTTTAATCATCTTTTTCAATTGTAAAATAAAATTCTACTTTAGAACATCAAGTTCATTGGACTTCAGGTATAATCAGTTCTTAAGGACAACAAAAATAAGTTCAAATTAATTAGTCCAAATAATTAGGTTAATTAGTCCAAATTAAAACAGGAAAAACAATGTAATAAAAAATTCACCATTCTGAGTGCTGTTATGTATTAAGTCATTTAATTCTCAGAACAACTCTATTTTAAGGTGAATACTTTCATTTTTTTTTTAAAGATGAGTTCTGGGGTTAGACACAAACGAAAAAAGACTGTAAAATCTTATGTACATGTGGAATCTAAAAATGTCAAAGACAAAAGCAGAGAGTAGAATAGCGGTTACCAGGGCAGGGAGGCGGGGAAAATGGAAAGATACTGGTCAACGGGTACCAATTGTAGCTAACAGGATGAGTAAGTCTAGAGATAATGTATAGCATGATGACTATCCTTAATGCTACACATTTGCTAAGAAGTAGGTACTATTATTGCCCTCCCTTTCACATTGGGGAAACAAAGGCATAAAGTAGTTAAGCTCCCAGGTTCAAGGTCATACAACTGGTAAGTGGCAGTGTCGGGATTCATATCCAGAGACAACTCTGAAACTTTATGCTCTGCTTCCTTTTACTCATGACAATGCACAATCAAAAGTTCAAAGTTCTCTACAAACAGAGCAATTCTATAAAAGTCAAGGGTCTTTCTTAGTATTTTTTGTCCTCAAAACCAATTGAATCAAAAAGCCTAAAGAGGCCAAAGAATAACTTAATGTGTATTGCTAACATGAGTATTCTCTTTGGAGAATTAGTTTTTTCTAAATGTCTCCTTTTCTCTGATTAGAAAATACACTCATTATAAGAAACTTAGAAAATGCAAAAACAAAATTCTTCTATAATCCCAAAACTTAGATATAACCATTGACATTTTATTTCCTTCTTGTCTTTTTATCTATGCATGTTTTATATTACTCTTCCTAAAAATTCAGAATCTGTCTTCACTTAAACTTAATAACTATATTGTAAGCGTTTTTTCATGAAAATAACTATTCCTTGAAACTGTAATTTTTAATGGCTATACAACATACAACATATGTATTCCCCTTACTGGTTATTTATTCCTGGTCTGGTAATAGAGGGTTATAGGTAGCAGAGGGCATTTTTACCTTCGATATTAGACTATCATGCACTATACAGCCGAGGACAGTTACTGACTCAGAGCTCATTTAATTCCATAAACATTTGGGCACCCTTGACATATGCCATGCTAGGTTGCAGTAGACATACCAATTTGGGGAATGTCTAGTATCTAATCCCCCTCAGTTGCTAGAATAAAAATATGAGAAAATAAAATCAGAGTTCCATTTCGAGATGTCAGGAACATGTCTCCCAAAGCAGAAAGAACCCAGACTATAGCATGACAGGATCATGTGAGAATGTGTGTGTTTAAAAATCAGGTGCTCAAATCCTAGTAGGAAAAGGAAGATTTAGGAGCTATTAGACGAAGCAGGAATGAGAAACTATGGGGTGTGGGTGTGTGATGGGGGGAAGAGGAAGAAAAAAGGATCAAGAGAAAACATTGAAGCTGGAGCATGCAAGAACCCTGCAGACCTAGGAGAAACAATGAAAACTGTTCCTTCCTTCCCCTCTCCAGCCTCCCTGTGTAAAGGCTGCTGTCCCACTAGTGAACAGCCCAGGCAGAGCAGAGAGCAGGGACCTGGGTTAGGGAACAAGTGAGAAGGCTGTATGGCAGTGGTCTCAGTTGGCAGCAGAGGAGCAGTGTTATGAGATGCCATCTTGGAGAAAAAGAGAATGAAAGACACCAGAGAAAGTCCCATGATGCTGCAGAGAAGGTATATGTAGAACAGCACATGTAAAGCGGAGGCCAATGCAAGATAATACACAAGAGGGGCACACTGTACAAGAAATGGCAAGGCTCTGGTTTAGAAATGACCCCTGGAACAACCTAATGAAGAGATGAGCAGTGTGTTTCAACAGACACATGGGAGCCCTGCCAGTACATCCCATCAGTGAGCAACTTGTCCTGAACCAATGAAAGTCAAATATGCCAGGTGTACTCTACACCCTCCTTGGAACTGCCTGCTGGGCCTGAGCCATCTGATGGGTTGACCTAAGCTCTGTGAAAGGACGGTTTATGTCTCTTGATCACGAAGGCATCCATCCGTAGCCAATGCAGATATACATATATCTACTTTTAAATATCTTTTTATTGATATCAGAAAGGGAGAAGAAGAGATAGAAACATCCATGATGAGAGAGAATCACCGATCGGCTGCCTCTGGCATGCCCCCCCACTGGGGATTGAGAACACAACCCAGGTATGTGCCCTTGACCGGAATCGAACCCGGGACCCTTCAGTCCGCAGGCCGACGCTCTATCCACTGAACCAAACCGGCTAAGGCAATCCCAACTACTTTTCACCCCCACCCCAAATGCTGCCTGTCAAGGAACAATGGGAGGCCACTAATAGTTCTAGAGTCCCTGTGCACAGTGGTCCTGGCAATAGCGCAGGTAGGGCAAGCCTTCCACAAAAACCATGCCGAAGGAACCAGTGCTTACCATCACTTTTACTGTCCGGCTGGAATTTTCTCTTCTTGTTGAATTTATTTGCCTGCTGGGATTTGTTCTTTGGTATTTTATCCCCTTGTTGTTTATTCCTGAAATGTTTCACACCTTTTTTCCCTGGTTTTGTGGCACTTTTCTGAAAGTTCTTAGATGTGATTTTAGGTCCACCTTCCTTAACAACTTTTCTTGGGAATGTCTTTGAAGAGCCAGAATCTAGTGAGGATACAAAATGATCATTAGTTCAATAATCCTGAGCCTAGATCTCTTGTATCCACTGGGTTGTATTTGTTACAGAAAATTATACCCTCTTTAGTGAAAATACTTTGTCCTACTCTCAAATATGGAGCAAAGGATTTAAAATACCAAACCAAAATTTAAAAACTTCCTCTGATTACAAAACTGTAATATTACAGGTTCATTACAGAAAACCTATAAAGTAGAGGCATGCATAATAAAAACGATACATAATTCTAGAAATAACCAGTTTGGTATATTTCTCTATTTTAAGCATAGAGTAGAAGTGAGGAATTATTTATACACCTTTGTATTCTAATTTAATGACTCCATATCATTAGTCTTTACATTTAACTTCTAAAAGTTCAATAACATCTTAGGAATCTAAAAATAGAATAAACACTTGAAATTTAAGAGGTATACCATATAGGCAAATTAAAGATGTTAATTTTTCAAAAATTCTAATTTTCAAAAATAATTTTCAAACCCTATAATAAAGTTATTTGACAAAAAAATCTTCTTTGGTTAACAAAGTTTGCAAATTAAATACCAAACAAATGAAATGAAAACTGCAACAGCTAAGACTGCTGTAAGAAAAAACAAGGAAAGATTGCTTAGGAAACATTTAATCATTTACACAGACTGACTTTTCTATTCTGCAATACTGACACCTGATGGAATATGAAGACATCACAATTAGAAATCTTGAAGATAAAAGTATATGGTTTACCAGTATTATACAGTAACCAACCACAATTTATCAAACATTAAAATAAAATGTGGTGAACTGGTGTAGCTAGCATGAGGCAACCGTATCACTAGCTGACGCCACTCCCTCCAATTATAAAGGCCAAATAAATAACCACACCAGAAGCATATTTTGGTAAGGCTATCTTACCATTGTTCTTACAAAATCTGTTTTTTTCTTGTGACGTCTTTGTACCTTTTCCTGTGAATTTTTGTTTTGCTTTGACTTCCATCATGGCAACTCTGGAAAACAAAAACAAAACCCAAAAGGATCACTGAATTGCTGTCATCTAAGTCACTGCAACATTTAGTCTGAGTTCTTACATACAGGGCAACCCACACATGTCCAGGAAGTAAACAATCACTGCTTCTAAGATTTTACAATGGGAAATAAATACCAACATAAAAAATAAGAACACACACACACAGACAAACTTGCACAAGTGCACCCTGGCTAATGTGTTAATTATTCGGAGGCAACACTTCAGTAAGAGTACTGGCTAAAAGCAGAACATTATTTACATTAAATATGATATACTTGTCAGTATTTGTATTTCTTATAACGGGGGAAGATTTTGAGATGAGAAACTGAAAATATTACCATTTGTTTTCTTGGGTCTCTATCCTAAAAAGCCAGAAACAATAGGTTGCATTTACCATATATTCAAATTTAATGAACAAAAATAAAAAATTATCTAAAAGTTTCCTAACACAATGTAACTAAAACAAAGACTAACTTCAAATGTTTAACTTGTTACTCTTTTAAGTGTTTTCTAATAACCCTCAAAATACTACTATGTTGAAACATTTAATATTTTGAGAAATCTGCCTAACAGGTCACTTCTGGGTACAGAAACCCCATGGTACACAGGGCAGACAAGAGATAACCCCTCACTTACCCAAGGATCCTGAAAGCAGCAGAATATGTCAAAAGCAAAAGTTATTTGGCTATTTCTCCACCTTCCAAAACTGTATATTCAATTCATTCCTAAATTTCTAAAGTTGATGCCCTAGGGTAGATGTTAGGATCCCTAGACAATACCATATTTCTGTGACAGTTTGTCAGTCTCTAATTGTTTCTCATGACTGAGACACTTTTGAAAACTACTGGTCAGGCACTTTGTAGAATATCCTTCATTTGGGGTTTGTCTGATTGTTTTCTCACTATTAAGACTGGCTTTAAGGATTTTCGGGGAAGAACATCATAGAGGCGAAGTGCCCCTGACATTACATAATATTATGAGGAACATGATATCAACATGACTGGCAATATTAACCTTGTTCACTTGGTTAAGGTACCGTTTGCCAGGTTTCTCCACTATGCTTCCCTTTCTACACTCTATTTATTAGAATCAAATCACTATGTTCACATAAATTAAGGGGAGGGGAATTAAACTCTACTTCCTAGAGGAGGAGTATGAAACAATTTGTTAAAATATGTATGTTAAAATCAGCATAGCAACTAAGAAATATTTTGGGTGATATATTTGGAGATTATGCAATATTTTCTATTTCTCCCACTAATTTTAGCATTATCCAATGTATCTTCCCTGCATCCATAACTGTGGTGTTTTAATGGTGACTTTCTATTTCCTTCATTACTTCTACCTTCGTTATTTCAAATTCTTCTGCAGAGAACATTTGTTTCTTCTCCTCTGTTCATTTATTTAATCATTTATTTACATCAGTATGGTCTCATAGATATTTTTATTACCTATTCCTTTTGTTGCTCGAATTGTTCCAACCTTGGTCAGTGGGAAATCTTTCAGTCTGCTGTGTCCTTTTGACAAGCCCCATCTTTTTCAAAAAATCATGTTCATAATACACGTTTGAAGTTCACCTTATATTTTCCTTGTGATAGCTGTGAAGTAAGTCATTTCTCCAAGGAACCAGGGTCCTTGTACTGAGAATGGTATTTCAAAACCAGGAGATGAGTGCTGGGTGTGCTTGCTGCCGCTGGGGTGTCACTGCTTCTGGGTGTTTTCACCAAACAGGGCTAGTAACATGTGTGTGTACACTAGCCCGTATGAACACACAACCTGTTTCTGTACCTACTAAATAAGCTCCTACTAATGTCTCCCAGTTCGAACCAAGTGCCACAGGGTTCTCTACCCTTCCTCTACTGCTTATCTGTAACTTCCTTCTCTGACAATGAGAAACTTGCCTCTCCGTAGCCACAATTTGTGTATTGTTTAACCCTAGCACACATGTAGGGGGTACAGATTGCTAACCTGTATCCCCGTGAGATACAAACCTACCATCGACAGTGCAGCGTTTATGAGCATTATAACGGAAGTACGCAAAGTGTTCAGGGAGCCGCAGAGCTGAGAGCCAGCTTATACCTTGTGAAGGGTAATAGCAGAGATGTCCCACAGACAGGGGGACATGGGACTGATCTTTCTTTCACTCCTTCAGCAGACTTAGCATTACGCTCTGAAAGCAGTGAACATGGAATACCCAACTTCTGAATGTAGGCATTCCTCAAATCTTGCCCTCTCTCTCCAGACTTCTCCCTAGGTGACCTCATCCAATCCCAGGGCTCTCTACGCTGGAGACTCCCAAATTACCGCTCCATTAGGGACTTCTCTTGCCATCCTGACTTGTGTATCTCACTGCCTACCTGACACCTCCATTTATGTTCCTTACACTTACCAAGTCCAAAACAGAACTCTTTAACTTTACCGCCACTGCAAACAACACCCAAACAATCCTCATTTTTCCCACCCTCTTCTTCTCCATCTCAGTCAATGGCACATCAGCCACTCAAGGAAAAAAACAACAAAAAACACCTAAGATTTATCTTCTCACTTATCTGCTACGTTCAGGCCTGCAGTAAGTCTTGTTCAACACCCTTTAAAAACACCTCTAACCCTCCACCTTTGATCTCCACTGCCACCACTTCAACCCAAACCATTATCAATCATCTCCAATTACATAATCAACAATAATACAAATTACAGGCCTTTTCTAAAGACAACCGGGGCCTACCATGTTTCTCCCTTGCTTATAAATAAATCTTCGCTGTTTTCTACACATGGAACAGAAATGGCACTGTATTCCCAGGGAGAGAAGACCTAAACTCCCCCACCATGGCCTTCAAAGCCCGGCAGAAGCTCGTCCCACCACCCTCCCTCTTTCTCATTCTATCTGGTATCGCTGCACTCCGAGCTCAACACATGGGTCCTTTTCCTACAGCTCCCAGCTCAGGGACTCAGCCCAAGTTACCGCTTCCACTAAAAGCACTTTCGCGCGGCTTCGGGGTTTCAGGGCTGCCTCTCGTCACGCTTTAGGTCGGCTTGCAGCGGTTCTCAACCTGTGGGATGCGACCCCTTTGGCGGTCCAACGACCCTTTCACAGGGGTCGCCTAAGACCATCCTGCATATCAGATATTTACATTACGATTCTTAACAATAGCAACATTACAGTTATGAAGTAGCAACGAAAATAACTTTATGGTTGGGTCACAACATGAGGAACTGTATTTAAAGGGCCAGAAGGTTGAGAACCACTGGCTTAAGGCTTAAGGATCACTTCGTCAGACTCCCCCGCCCTCCACCTCCGTTCCCAACAAGTTTCCCTTCGGCGCTCAGAGCCTGGCACCTGTGCATTCAGGGTGCAAACCCGGCGCGTAGCACCGACTGGGCGCAGAGCGGACGCGTGTCAAACGTACGACAGGAAGGCTGAACGCAACTAGCACGGGCCGGGTGTCGGAGGGTGAAAGGAGTCAGGCTGACCCTGCAGTCTCAGGACATTCGGGTGAAAGGGTCTCCAAACTCCCACAGCAGACACGGTCACTGAAGGCTGCCCAGCGAGCGACAGGTGCGAACACCTCTATCCTCTCTGGCAGCCCCGAGGGGGCCCCCCCCCCCGATTCCAGCGCCCGGCGTGGGGCGAATCCCTCCCCGGAGCAGTCGCCGGGCCCGCCACACTCACCGCACACGTGTGGCCGCCACCCGGCAGCTCCCGGCTCCCGCCGCCGCTTCCGCTTCCTGGACTTGCCCCGCCCCCAGGTCCACGGATTTCTTCTTCCGCTGGGGAGCTTGGGTTAAAGGGCGGGGCTAGCCGGGAAGTTTGGCATTTCTATTGGTCCACCCCTATTACCTCACCGAGAAGAACCGGGGCAGTGACACACGCGGGTTTGGCCCTTGAAACGATCCGTCGTCGAGGGCGTGTCAGCGGCTCCCGGAAGTGACGCCATTAACCCTGTCGCTTCCGCGCCAGGAAGACGGCGGCGTTTCTCGAGGGCCGGGCTGATTTTTAAAGCCGCCTTGGTAGGCATGGCTCCTTCTCTAGCCTGAACTAATACTAAATAGTTCACGTTTTTAGAGCGCGTTAATATGCATCTTCTCTGACAGTCTAGCGCGAAGGATCAAAGGGAAACCTCGGGAGCCGGTTTGAGTTGTAATCCTGGTGTTTTTTTCCGCTTGCTAGCCCTGGGGCTTTGGGCAGATTATTCCGTTTCTCTGAGTCCTGACGATCTGATCAATACAACAGAGGTAGCTAAATCAAAGCTCTTAGAACAGCCAATCGTCATGATAAGCTCTCAATAAATGTTTGCCATTTTTAAGGCCTGTCCATTCTTCCAGACTGCGTCGATCCCATTTTTCCACATCAGAAAGTGAGACTAGTTCGGATAGTATCCCCATTTCACAGGTGAGAAAACGGACACCACACACTCGGGTCAAGCAACACCGCTTATTCTCTAACAGTTCTGTAGGCTCGAAGCCCCACGTCAAGCGGCAGGCACGGTAGCGCCCCCTCCAGCTTCTGGTAGTTCGCGGTGCCCCGCGGCTTGGGGCTGCATGAGTCCGAGGTCCGCCTGTTGTCGCTCGGCCTTCTCTTCTGTGTCCTGTCTATGTTATAAGGGCACCTGCCACTGGCTTTAGGGCCCATTGTAACCATCCCGGATGATCTCATCTGGGGGTCCTCAATTGCATCTGCACAGACCCTTTTCCCAAGAAAGGTTACTTTCACAAGTATGGGGGTTCGAGCACCGGCATCTCTTTTCCAGGGCCACCTGGAAGTTAAAGAATTGGAACTTGATACCAGGTGTGTCAAGTTCATATTTTACTGTTTTCTGAATCGCAGTGTACTGCCCCTCAAGGCTTTAGGCTTGAGCCTGGTACAGGAATTCACTAGACTTCTTGAGGGTGGGGCCCTGGTTACTTTCCAGGCACCTAAGCCACTAACTCAACTCATAGGTATTTGATAAGTACCTATTTTTTTTTTTTTTTGCCTCCACCATTATATTTTCATTTCAGCTCATTTAAGTCTCATAAGAACATTTCAAGTAGGTCTCTCCCCCCCCCCTTTTTTTAAGGAAAAGGGGGAAACAAAGTAGTTTTGATCTGGTGAGCCTAACTCCAAATTCAGCATGACTGCCTCTGTACTGCTTTCTTTAATCCATTAATTCTCCAGTAAATGCTCAAGAACAGGAATTGCAGGTCTATCAGTAGTGCCTATTAGGCAAATAGCATGGCATATGCTAGCAAAAAAAATAAAATAAAAAATTCTTCACAAATACACCCTACCACACAATACCTGGGAGGGGTTGCATTTGTAAAGACCACAGATAGCAGCACCTTATATGCTCTCAGACACATCCATGTGGCTGGCTGTCTTAAACATGTACATCAAAAAGATGATTACATACCAAAGTCCTAGATTAATATCAGTAATGTTATTTATCCAGTCTTTTATGCTGTCAAAAATAGATTCACTTGAGTGTTTTTGTTTGTAGTGAGTTGAAAGTCTCTTTTGGTTTTGCAGAATAGCAACAAAGCTTATCCTGCAATTTTGCAGTTAACCAAGTAAAGCCCAACAATTTTTCAAATACCTAATAATCTTAATGTCGAGAATTATGTGTATTCCTAGAAGCACAAAATGCTCTTCCTAAATAACACAGAATGCAATTTAATCAGAGCAGCTAGACTTGTACATATCCAAGAGGTTTACAGCAATGTAATGAAGGGGATTGGCATTTGGGTCAAAGGAACCCTGAATCCAAGGTCTGTATGTCTATGGACAAGATAGTTAATTTGTATGGGCCTCAATTTCTGCATATGTAAAATGGGAATAACAACACTTACCTTTTGGGGTTTCTCTGTGACTCAAAGTGATAATAACTGAAAAGTTATTAGCCAATAGTAAACGTTGAGTGTTTCATAGTTTGAGAGACAGTGATAGAACCAAGTTGTGTCCATTAGAGATGCTTTTGCCTGCAAGTAATAGTTCAGTTAATAGTGACTTAAGCAATAATTTTCGTCACACAACACAATTCTGAAGGTAGTTGGTTGCTCTAGTTCAATGATTTTCAACCTTTTTCATCTCATGGCACACCTAAACTAATTACTAGAATTCTGCAGCACACCAAAAAATACATATATTTTTTTGCTGATCTGATAAAAAAAATAGGTATAATTTTGATTCATTCACACCAACGGGTATTGTGTGTTGGCTGTTGTCATTTTTTATTTAACAATCTAAGGGAAAAGTGGTCAGTGCCCCTGACTAAATAGTCAGGTATTGCAGGTTTTAAATTTTTTTGTGGCACACCAGTGTGCCTCCCGCTGCACACCAATTGAAAATCACTGCTCTTGTTTAATGATTCCATAATGTCATCGAAGACTTATGTTCTTGCACAGGTTCTGTGCTCCACCATGCTCAGCTTGTTAACTTCATTTTCACAGTTGCTGCTTTCATTTATTTTTTCCCCCATTTGTACCTTTTGACCACCTTCATTTATCCCCCGCCCGTCTCCCTTCACTTCACCTCTCACAACCACCAACCTGATTTGTCTCAATGAGTTCTGGTTGTTTAGATTCCACATATAAGTGGGATTATACAGTATTTATCTTTGTCTGACTTATTTCACTGTTTGCAAAATATACTTCTTAGTTTCAGAATTTATATCAGAGTTCAGGGCCAGAAGAATGGAAAAAGAGAATGAAATTTACTTTTTTCTCCACTGTAGGGTGCTATCCTTTTATTCCAGAAGGAAAAGACCTAGCAAGGTTCCTCTTCTAGTTCATTGCCTAAAACTGGGTCACATGGGCACCCCCAGATTGGAAGTCCATCAGACATGTTAACCAGGCATTTAGAGTTCACTCTTTTTCCAGTACTCCAGTAAAATGAAAGGTCACTTGGCAGATATGCCTCCACCTAGTGGTAGACATTTAATTTGTGATTTAAACTAATCTGTTTTAAAACTTAAATTTTAATAGCAGTAAGCTAAAACTTAAAATAATTGTAGTATCCTTGGTAGTGAATCTCAATCTTGGCCACACATGAAAATCACCCAGGGCGTTTAAAAAGCAAAAACCAAACCCAATAATTCTAATTTAATTAGTCTGAGTGGAGCCTGGGCATTAAAAATTTGGAAAGTTCCCCAGACCATGCTAACGTGCAGCTAAAATTAAGAGCTACTTGTTTAAGGAATGGAGTTCACGTTGTTGATTTGATTTTTCTAGTTAACTGAGGATTAAACCCTGTAACCTTCTGACCCCTCTTTTGCAAGGCACCAGAATTCATAATTAAATGTATAATACACTTGTTCTGTAAATAGAATGTCTTGTTCTTTGGGGTCTACTGGAGTGACTTAATATCATTAGACACTGAAAATGGTTTAAATTTGAACTACACACTTTCAAATATATTCTGAAAAATATTTGCCTTTTTTTTTCAATTCCACATGATTTTGTGCAATTTTTCTCTTTTTCATAGAAATAAAGTGTGTTAGGTGTCAGCTCCCACACATCTCCC